ACCGGGAATCGAACCATGAGCTCCTGGTTCATAGGTTGATGCTCAACCACAGAGCCAGTCTATCTGGGTTTCCCATTGATTTTTAGAGAGAGTGGAAGGGAGGGAGAGACAGAGAGAAACATCAATGTGTGAAAGACACATTAATTGCTTGCCTCCATCATGCACCGTCGGGATCGAGCCTGCAACCAAGGTATATGCTCTTGACCAGAATCAAACCCAGGACCCTTCAGTCTGTGAGCCGATGCTCTATCCACTGAGCCAAACTGGCTAGGGCTGAGTGCACTTTTCTTCACATCTTTAGCAAAACTGAGCCTCTTAGTTGAATTGTGTTACACAAATCTGGAACATATATCGTGGTTTATGTTTCAGATTTATTTCTACTTACTCATCAGCAAGGTTGTTTATCTTATGTGTATTACTGTGTGTTTCTTTGTGAACTGCTTGTTGAAATCTTTTAGCCGTTTTTTCTATTAGATTTTTAGTCTTCTTTTATAACAGGTTTTTGTAGATTAGATATATTTATTCTGGTGTGCTTTAAAAATTTTAGATTGAACCACACAAAATTACTAATATTCAACCATTTTTTTATCTGTTCTGCACAGGAATTTTATATGGTTCAACCTAATATTGTTTTCCTTCCAGATCATCATTTGTTTTTTAACTTTGTGTATTGTATCTCCTTATATAGAACTTCCTAATTTTTATATAGTCCATTTGACAGGTATTTCTTGAGCTCCTACTCTGTGCCAGGGGATAGGAGTGACTAAGATGGCAGACTTAGGCCCTGCCCTGTGCTGTCTTCCTTCCAGTAGGGGGTAAGGGTGGGGCTACCAACAAGTAAACCCCGTCGTTGCAGAGCGTGAGGAGGATGAGGAGGAAATGTCTCCTCCTTTATGGCTTTTGGATTTGGTATCTTACTTAGGAAGTCCTTTCTTCCCCACCCCAATATTCTAAAAATACTCTTCTATGTTTTCTTTTAACACTCTTGTGGGTTTGGATTTACATTTAGCATTTTAAATTTCATTAATAATTTATTTTCCTGTGTGGTGGGGATTGAGATTTAAAGTTACTGTTCCAACTGGATAATTCATTTTTTCAGCACCATTTATAAATAGTGCATCCTTCCCTTCACTAATGTGAAATCCCTCTTCATAATATAATATAAATTCCTTTATTACATAGTTCTACTTATTTCTTTCCCATTTATCACTATTTCTATGCAAGTACTACGTGGCTTGAATTTTCAAGCTTTATAATATATTTTATTATTATTCTAGGGCCAGTCTCTTTCATCAGCCTTTCTAAAAAATTGTCTTGGCTCTTCTTCAAGGTGGACTTTAAAACCAACTTGCCAAATTCAGGAGATAGGGAACTCTAGAATTTTTACGGGAGTTGTGG